CTCCGCGGTGTCCGTGCCCTCCTGGGACGATCTCGAGCTGATCGTGGAGCGCCTGCCGCAGCCCCCGTACACGCGGAGCCCAGCAGCCTGGGTCGGGCCGCTGGCGCTCGGCCTCCTTGCCGGCTTCGTGGGCGCACTGGGCACCGGGGCGATGATCACTGTGCTCACGCTGTGGATCACCGGCGGCGACGGCGACCCCGCGCGGCCTTGCGCCCCCGGCCCGCCCAGGCCGGTCCCCGCGCCCTGCGGCTGGGAAGCAGAGCCGCTCCTGCCCCCGGCCTGGACGCCGCAGGGACCCTCCCCCTACGGCCTGCCACTGTGAATCCCCCCCAGCAGCGCCCCCACAGCAGCCGCCCCACTATAAATTTTCCAAAGGCCGTGGAGGGCGCAGTCTGTCGCCGAGTGGATGGAAACGGGCGTCGTGAGCCTCGGGAGCCGGCCAGGGGTCCCCAGCGCTACCCAGCGTCCGCCCGCCGAGCCACGCTTTTGGACACACTCTTGTATCCATTCCGTGCCAGGAAGCTGCTCACCACTCCGTAAGGGGCGCGGTGGGGACTCTTGAACCCAGAGCCGACTGGCCAGTCTGCGCCCCAGAGGCCGGTGCGGGTGCAGTAAGGAGCTGGGGCCCCGCTGGGGTGTGCCTCGCCACTCCTCTGGAAGGCCCAGCGGGAACCTGGCACCTCCCCCGCCCACCTCCGAGGGATGAGCCAAGCCCTGGGGAACCCGCAGCCGGCATCCTATGGCCAGGGGCTTGGGGCGAAAGCCGCGACAGAATGACAAGCCAGTCCAAGAGGAGAGTTGAAAACAAGATTGACGTAACCCTTTATTGCAAATTCTAAAGTAAAAAGATGTACAGTACAAAGTAAAATTGAAAATTCAGACTATAAACTTCCAATCCGCTTATACATTCTCGTTTCTCAAGCATTTCTGCCATTTCCGCATAAACAACGGGGACGAGTCGAGGCGGGGAAGGAAGGAGATACAGCAAGGGGGAAAATTGTAAGAATCACGAACCCCAGAAGCAAGTGCAAGGAAAGACATTTCTCGACCTGCTGTCCTGGTGATGAGAAGCGGGGATGGGCTGGAGCAGTGCAGTTTAAAATGGCTCTCAGAATAGCAGCGTTTATGGTACTAGTTCATCTTCCTCAAGTCCACAGTATGCTTTGCCCTTCCCTGGCGCCTTGGTCTCTGTATCTCAGATCGCTTTACAAAACACCTAGTTAAAGCCTCACAACACCCCTGTGAGGTAGGTCAGTATTATTACCCCCATTTTACAGATGGGGAAACTGAGGCACAGAGAGGTTAAGTGACTTGCCCAAGGCCACACAGCGAGCCAGTGGTCAAGCTAGGGATGGAACACAGTTCTGTCCCTCTTCTGGAACCACTGGACCACGCTCCCCTTTACCTATGTACATTCTTCATACACACACACACACACACACACACACACACACACACACACACCACATGTGCACACCTGCCCACTTCGCCCCACTTAGCCTCTATGTACAGCAAACAGGGGCAGGGGCAGGGGCAGGGGTGGGGGCAGGGGCGCCTCAGGAGTGTTTTGATGGAGGAAGCCTTGAGAAGAGGATCCAATTAGCACTAGCCCAGTGCAAGTCTTGGCCTCACATCCAGACTTCCTCTTTTCCCGACGCCCCCTGCCCCCCACTGACTGGCCGGCAGCTGATTCTCTAGGGGGTGGGGGAGTACCTGAAAATGAACGAAGCTTTTTGCAAAACTTTGGGCAACGTCTGAGAAAAGAAAGAGGCATCGTTCCGGCGGATGCCCAGGAATCAAGTCACTAAGTCCGAACCCTCCACAGAAGGCCTGGAGGCTGGGGCTGAGGACAAGGTGGGGACTGACCTACCAGCCAATCTCTCCAGGCAGAGTGGGCACTTCAAGACCTCCTGAGTGTCCCCAGACCAGGAGACACGGCCTGGAGAGGGGTGTCCCCGCCCCTGCACACACGTGAAGGGGACGGCCCCAGTCTGCTGGTCTGGTTATGGGAGTGGATGAAGGGCAGGGCCCAGCGCTCGCTAGCGGAGCGGAAGCTGCTCGCCTTGCGCTAGCTTTGGGGGACGGGGTAGTTTTTTCTTAAATCATTTCCATGAACGAGGCAGAAGTTAGGCCAGTCCAGCTGGGGTGGCTGAGGTCATCTCTGGGGGCTCTGCTGGGTCAGGCAGCTGAGGGAGGGGTCCAGCCTAAGGGGTAATGCCACATGCAACCGGCAGCAGCGACCTGGGGGTCGGGACCTGGCTGTTCTCTGCAGTCTCTACTTAGCCAGAATTGGGAGGCTCTGGTTCCTCTCTCCTCTTCCCAAATGCTCCAGGCTCCCAGTTCCCAGACCCCTTCCAGAACTCGAGAATGGGCAAGTCAGACAACAGACACACACCGAGACAGGCTTCCCTTGTGTGGTAAAAAGGGCCATTTTTATTTGGTTTCCTTTTGGCTTATAGTAATTGACTGCTTTGAAATCACGTCTCATTTAGCGCAGCGCTGGCCTCCATGCATTCACTAGCACTCTACTGATCTTGTACAGTTTACACTGGTTGTGGAGATCAAGTGAAAGAAGCCCTTTGGGCTCGGTAGCGCCGGGGGCCCTGCCAGGGAGCTTGTATCTCTCTGCCCACAGCTTCAAATGCGTAAGTGATGGCGAGCAGGCCACTCTGGCTCTCACCCTCGGCTCGGCTTCCCAGTCTCCTCACCCTAAGCCACAGGGAAGTTAAGGAAGAGGGGAGTGTTTTCACCGTGTAACCAGCAGTCAGGGCGGCTCCCGCTCAGGGCCTTTGGCTCTGCGTTTTAAATGAACAGCATCACATGACTTTTTGCTTTTTGTCCTTTTTATTTTTATTTTTAAAGGAGGATCGTGGAATATAAATACTGCACCAAGGACCCGGCTACAAAAAAATAAATATTTATATTTATATATCTATATATATATATATATATATATATGTGCAGTGGTACTGGCTGCTGCTGCTCTTTGATTGGTGGGCTTCGTGAATATCTGGCAAAGCGTCGCCACTTGCTCACTCTGTGAGGACACGGAACAAAACAAAACGGAACCAACCCAGAACTGCCATAGCCGACCGATTCTTTAGGTTCGATGCCTGTTAACTGCGGGTGTGAACTGCTGGTGATGGTGTGGTTCACAAGAAGTGTGGAGCAGGATGGAGGGAGAGCGAGGGAGGGGGGAGTGGCCAGGTGCAGGGAAGGAGGGGGACGGGCAACAGGTGGGGAGGTCTAATCAGTGGGCAGAGGTGTGAGATCCCGAGGCGGGTGGAGAGAGGGAGGCAGGGAGGCAGCGAGGGAGGGAGGGAGGCGGCGGCCTGCTGGGCTGGGTCAGGAGGGTCAGATCTAGGCTCTAGCAGCTTAAGGACATTCCTAGCATGGCGCTTGGTGTTCCTAGCAAGATCAAATAGCTGTTGCCCATCTCAAGATCTAAGAACAATGATTAAGTTTAGCCAAATCTTGCATAGAAGTGGTTAGAATTTATTGCACATTGGAACAAAAATATATATTTTTTTGTTGTTTTGGAAAAGACCATTAGCAATAAAAAATTTTTTGTCTGTCTGTCTGGTTGGGGTGTACATTGGCTGACAGCATCTAGTTCTAAGAAGAAAGGAAAGTATAAAAAATAAAAATAAACATGACAATGGCATAAGCCAGAAGCCATTTCCTATTTAATAAGTTAGTAATTTGTATTTACAAAAGGCATGCCAATAAAATAAAATTATATATTACAGTATTTATAATTCTCTTAAAAAGAATAACCACACACGTCAGCTTCTGTTTTGTGCTGTTTACGACGTCACGCGCCTGTACGTGGTTCTCTACATTCGTCCTAGCAGCAGTGGCCTGGCCACACTTCCCGAGCAGGTCTCGGCACGCTTAGGACAGCAGGACAGTGTCTACCGGTCCCACCAGAGGAAGCTCTGCTCACCGGCTGGCTGTGGTTTGTTCTATGCGAAACTAGTCAAGGGGACTGTGAGGTCACATCCAAAGTGCTGCCACCGCAGGCAGGGCAGACTGGCCTGACGGGTCTAGTGGTGGACTGCTCGCGTCCTTCCCTCCGCCCTGTGCTCAGGAAGGACAGTGCTGACTTGGTTCCCAGAGACTTTCTAACACTCAAGTGCAGCATCTTGGCTTTGAAGCCTTGTGTTCAGGGGAGACACCCTGGACTAAGAGCTGGCTTCTGCAGAGCAGGAGATGGGATGGAAGCCATGGCGCTCTCCCAGAAGTCATCCCCTGACGACAGTGGTCAGGCCACTAAGCAGAAAGCAAGGTGGGCAGAGAGGAAGTGCCAGGGAAGCCGCAACACCCGAGAGGACGACTCGAGTCCCTTCTCACAAAAGCCAGCGCAGTGACAGGACCAAGCGGGCTCGGTCCAGAGCGGCCCCACCTCTACCTCAGGTCCTGCTAGTTACGGTCATCTGAAGACCATGAACGGAAGAGCCCGCAGCCATACCCCAAGCAACACTGCTGCCCTTACCCAGCCCTGGACGGCTGGGAAGGGCAGCCCTGCTGGTTGGAGGAGGTGATGGAGGCAGGAAGGACCAGCAGATGGAGCATGTGAATCCCTCTGCGGGTTCAGAACCCCTGAACCCCTTTCCACATCTCCCTGAGCCTGAGAAAAGCCATAATGCAGACAGACATGACACCGAATGAAGTGAGCACCCCATAATCCCCAAAGAAAGGTTTCTGTAAGTCCCCCAAAGGCCTCCTAGAGATACGTGCTACTTGGAATAGCACTTGTATCTCTACCCCAGTGACAGTTCTCCAGGATGAAGGCTAAACAATCATTAGAATATTGCAAGATACAAATGAACTCTTTTCCTATTTGTTTTTTTAGCCCTAGGATTTGGTTTTACAGTGACATTAATAGTACAAGCCATTCGGGGCCAAAGTCTCCCCAGGAACTGGACAGAGCAGCATTAGATAGTTTACCTTGCAAAATGTGCAACAATGGCTGTATGTTGAGATGTCTGTTAAACATGTACACACAACGGATCCATCTGCTTGTTGGGTTGGATTGTTTCTGGTGGTGGTGGTGGTGGTGGTCAATTGGTTAATTATGTTTCCCTACCCAGAGGTGTATGAAAGACTTCTAAGAACTCAGAAAGAATTGCAGCCGGTATGGAACTCTTACCATTTCTCCAAATACAGTGAACGGTGCAGGGCTGGGTCCTGTCCAAAGGCTGACCCAGTGCAGGGGACAGGATTAATAGTGTCTTGTGGTGTATGGATCTCATGCATGACTTCTGATCACGGCATGCCATCATGCAAATCATTTCTACGCATTGAACGAGCACAATATTTGGAATTGGCCTGAGCAAGTCCTCCTCAGCCTGAAAAAACCTGATTGTTTCCCCCACCCATCTCCAAACCACGTGACGCCCATGTGGAGAAGATGCTGCTTATGTCAAAGAAAACAGACAATTAGTGACATAGGCTGAATGTGTGTGTGTGTGTGAGTGTGTGTGTGTGTGTGTGTGTTTCTTTTTGCTGCTTAGCTTAACTAATGTAAGAATGCAAATATTGTTTGCATGAACAAACAAACTTTTAAAGTGATGCTTTCTGCTTCTGAGAATCAACAAATGAAAAAATAAAATCCATTTGGCTGCGACGGCAGCCGCCTCTGCTCTGTAGCCTGTTAGTGTAGTCCTAAGTTGCATTGACTGAGTGTGGAACATGCAGTAACCACCTGCCCAAGCGGTAGAAAATCTTGAGTCCAGGGAGCAGGGTCCTTTGCCCTTGGCAGGTCACTGCTCCAGATGCGACCGACCGTGTCCCGTGTAAGCAGACTACGTTTGGTATAGGTCTTCCGGTCCAGCGTCTCCACAGCTGCTCTGCACCCGTGAGATTCGGGAGTCTGTAAACAGGCTTTCGCGTGCCAGGGCTAAGCGGGTGTAAGCGTCCCTCCTCGCTGTCTCTAACACTTGGACTCCCGGACCTCTTTTCGCCTCTTGGCTCTTTCCCTTCTCCCTTCCTCCGCCCGCTGCTGCTTCTCCTTGTCGGGTTTCGTCACGCTGTCGTAGGAGGGGAGGGAGGCCGTGGACGGGGTGCTCCCCCTCTTCTCCGGGTGTGTGCCTCCGTTCTCCAGCTTGTTGGAGGTGATCTTTCTGCAGATGAAGCCCCTCCGAGCTAGGTGTCCCCGGTAGGCACGCTGCAGGACCACGGCCGACACCTCCTCCTGCTTGCGCCGCAGGGTGGTTGTGATGGGCTCGTAAGACACTTTGGAAGGGTTGGACGCCACGAACCGCTCCTCCATCTGCTGCCGCAGGATGTCCAGCTCCCCGCTGTCTCCCAGGACCCGCTTGGTGAAGGCGAAGAGGATGTCCAAGCAGTGGATGCGGTCTCCGCTGACCATGGGCAGGTCCATGGCGATGAGCTCGATGGTGTTGGGCTTGGGCACGCGGAGAGGATGCTCCAGGGCGTCGGCGAAGTCGGCCAGCTTACAGTACTCGATGAACTGGGTGGCGTCGGGGTCGAACTTCTCCCAGATCTCGTAGAAAGTCTCAAAGTCATCCTCGCTCAGTGGGTCAGCGCTCTCCTCTGTGGCTACACTGAAGTTCTCCAAGATGATGGCGATGTACATGTTCACCACGATCAGGAAGGAGATGATGATGTAGCTGACAAAGAAGAAGATGCCCACGGAGGGGTTCCCGCAGTCCCCTTTGAAGCCGCTGCCTGGGTGTTCCTTGTCCAGGCTGCAGTCGGGGGGCCGGTTCAGGATCGGCAGCAGCAGGCCGTCCCACCCAGCCGAGGTCGTGATCTGAAACAGGCAGATCATGCTGTTGCCAAACGTCTCAAAGTTGAACATGTCGTCAATTCCAGCCTCGTGCTTGACGTATGCGAAGTTGGACATCCCAAAGATGGAGAAGATGAACATGACCAGGAAGAGCAGAAGGCCAATGTTGAACAGGGCAGGCAATGACATCATTAAGGCAAAGAGCAGGGTGCGAATCCCTTTGGCGCCTTTGATCAGACGCAAGATGCGCCCGATGCGGGCCAATCGGATGACTCGGAAGAGGGTTGGGGAAACAAAGTATTTCTCAATGATATCAGCCAGGAACATTCCTAAAGGAGGAACAGAGGACGCCGTTACGGGGGACAGAGACACCCTTCCCTCCTCTTACCTGGCATTATGAAACGTAGAAGTTCAAAGGGCATGTAAAATGAGTGCCTTTGACTCGAGCTGAACCCTCAAACTAAAATAATTACACCTTCTAAACATATAGAAAAGTAGAGAACACCAACATGAACCGTGTTTAGCAAACTTAACAGCGGCCAGCACCTAACCCCTGAGGACCCGGACACCTCAGCGGCTCTGGTGTTGTTACAGTTCTACTATGTGTGAATTCATTAACAGCAGGGTGTCCTCTATAGTTAGGAGATGATACAGGACTATCTTTCTAATGTATAGGTTTCAGAGGTTGATTTTTTTTTTTTTCTGCAAGACTGGTCCTTCAGATGAAAATGACTTTACATTATCTCTTCCTGTGACCCAAACAAAGCAGATCTGTGTTTTCCTCCTGGGAGATCCATTTATTCAGTGTGTGCACACACAGCTTTTCAAATGCTCTCTATGATGCCATTGGGGTTTCTAAACTATGAACAGGGAACGAGAGGTCCCGGTTCCCCTGCGACACATACCCTTTGACTTCCCTGTCCTAATTATTCTGCTAAAGCTACACATTTTCGATGTATCTTATTCTTGGTTTGCTCCTCACCCCCCAGCTCCTCACGAGGGTGTTAGCCTCGGAGATTTAAGGAGGCTGTCCAGGGTGGCCTTCCACTTGGTGCTCTGAGATTGTGAGCTGGAAGGTGTAAACAGGCACCAGTTTCGAAGCAGGAGGTGCAGGAGGAATTGCAGGCAGAAGTGGGAGAAATGGACAAGCGGGCGTCCTCTGTGTCCAGGCCTACGTGACCCTCCTCAGGCAGACTTAGAGGAGCCACAGAGGGGATCTCAAGGAGGACTGCAGAAGGGAGCGGAGACGGAAGGGCCAGAAGGGCCAGAAGGGAGGGCTGGAGGAGGCAGGGCTGCTCTCTCCACGCAATGCTGCTCTCTGCCTTCCACGTGCTAGGAGACAAGATGAGCATCCCTGCACACGAAGCTCTTAACCACTGAAGTGTCTCTTAGCTGTAAGAGTTCGTAAGTATTGTGACTTCAGCTGCAGAAAGCTCAAGAGTCTCTCATTTGAAGGTTTTAAGCCAGGAAAGAGGGGCTGGAGAAATAACGCAGCGTTAAGAGCCTTGTTGTTCATGCAGAAGACGCAGGTTTGATTCCCAGCACCCATATGGTGGCTCACAACCAGTCGGAACTCCACTTCCAGGGGATCCAACATCTTCCTCTGGCCTCCGGGGTATTGCATGCATGTTGTGCATGGCCATACATGCACACAAAATACCCACCACAAAATAATAAAATAAAATTTGGGGCTGGAGAGATGGCTTAGTGGTTAAGAGCATCCACTGCTCTTCCAGAGGACCTGGGTTCAGTTCCCAGCACCCACATGGTAGCTCACAATTGTCTGCAATTTCAATTCTGGGGAATTTGACACCTTCTTATGACCTCCTTGGATACCAGTCAAACATGTGGTGCACATATATACATGCAGGCAAAACACATAAAATAAAATAAGACAGGAAAGAATCTTGCTTTGCGGGAAGGGAAGGAGGCTGAGCCTGGAGAGTGGCAGGCACTCTCCTCCTCAGAAGCTGTGATCGATCTCCTGGGGCAGGTGGATCTCCTGGGGCGGGTGGATCTCCTGGGGCGGGTGGATCTCCTGGGGCGGGTGGATCTCCTGGGGCGGGTGGATCTCCTGGGGCGGGTGGGCGCAAGGCCCTCAGCCGCCTCCTTTCCTCCCCTTTGCTTCCCAGTAATGTAAGTAAAA